TTGTTTGTTTGTTTGTTTTGGTGCAGATGCCATACCAGCACAACCCCAAAGTCAGCTGTGTTATCTCCCAGAACTAAAAAAATAGATCTTCTGCTTGTTATGCAAATGTGTTAACCACCATACTACGGCTAGATTATACCTTCATATAACACCGCTTCATACCACAAGATGGTGCAGTGAGTCAGAATAACCTTTATTTAATCAGCCAAATCAATAAAAGCAATGGGCTAACTGGAAAAAGGCAAATGAATATACAGCAGGACACATCCAAAAACAATTCAATAATCCCACTGTCAAAACACTGCCCCCTAGTGGGGAAAGGTGTAGTTAAATTCTGCAAATTACAAATTAGGGGCTTGTCTGGGATTGGCTGTCTCACATTCACAAGGGTGAATTGCATCAGGCTACACAGAGCACGTTGGAAGTCACACACAGGAACAGCACAGAGGACGTGGCCAGTTTCCAAAATAAAACACTCTGTCCAGACCAAAAGATTAATTTTCATTTAGTTTTTAAACATTTTTTCATATTTTTCTGCTTTTCAGGATAGAAATTCTAATTGAATTCATTTCAGTTTTATATTAGTATTATAGTATCAGTTAGTATTAGTTATTTTGTTTTTATTATGATTATATGTGGAGTCTTTGACAAATAGGTGTATTTGATGTTATGGAACAAATACAGGACGGGTAATACGAGTTTATTATATTTAATATTTTGACCAAACAACTAAAGATTAAAACAGAACATGTTTTCCGTGTTTTCCTTAAACGTTTTGTTTAATTTGACTTAGATTCATTTTTAGAAATATTATTTACAATAAATAAAACATTTGCATTTTAATTTTCATAGTTGGACTAGTTTTAAATAACTTTTAAAAAGTGTTACCTTACTTTCCTAAATAACTTTTTTAATTGCAGCACCACCTCTGTCCTGTGATATGTGTTTTACCAGATTTAACTAATAATTAATAAATACAAGATTATCAGAGTTTTGTGCCTCACTAAAAACTCTAACTTTACTATTTCCATAAAGTATGCTCATCATACTTCATTTTTGTAAAAGTGTCAGCCACTTCTGTGTTTAATTAGCCAGCTTGGTTTGCTCTGAGAATAATATTATTTTAAAC